CGGATTCCCCCGCTTTTCACGCCGGTGAAGGATGTTGCCAAGCTGGGTGCCGAACTGGCAAAACACAAGCTGCTGCCTCGCTTCAAGCTTTGCAGCATCGGTACAAAAATCATGTGCTCCAGCTTGGAGGAGTACAAACAAATAGGAAGTTTCCTGAAGAACAATAACGTGGACTTCTTCACGCATGATCTGCCATCGAGCAAGCCACTGAAGGTGGTTTTGCGTGGATTACCGTCGTTCGAGGCTGCTGCGGTGAAGTCCGAGCTGGAGCGGCTTGGGCTCCAACCTGAGGCCATGTTCCAGATGAATCGGCGTCTCAACCAAAACACCAGCTTCCGTGATCAGTTGTTCCTGGTGCATTTCACGAAGGGATCCACCAGTCTTGCGGCTCTGAGATCCAAAATCCGGGACCTGTTTCAGGTCATCATCAGTTGGGAGCATTAAAAACCCCAACATCGTGATGTAACGCAGTGTATGAACTGCCTCTCATATGGCCATGGCACCAAAAACTGCCACATGAAGACAAACTGCGGCAAGTGTGCTGGAACTCACTCAACTGCGTCCTGTGAGCAAGTCGATGACATCGAGCCAACGTGTGTCAACTGCGGTGGAAACCACCAAGCCTCCAATCGCGGATGTCCCAAGCGAGTGGAGTTCATTAATATCCGTCGGAAGGCCACAATCAACAACCAGCTTGGTCGCCTTCGTAATCATCGTTCGCCTCCTGTACTCACGGAAGTCCAGTACCCAGCTCTCCAGCCCCGTCGACATGTTCCGAACCTAGCCCCGCTTCCGCTCAACAACCAACAAGCCCATCCCGCGAGTATCCAAATGGTTCCCAACAGTCGGACAGTTCAGCATCGTCTCGTTGTTGCTCCGGCCCAGCCAATTCCAGGTTCATCCACCGCCCCTGGTTTATCATACGCTGGTGCTGCCTCAGGGCTCAGGTGAACCTGTCGACGATTCTCCGTTCACCTCGGAGGAACTTGTGACGCTCGTGGCCGAGGTCATCATCATCATGCGTACCTGCAAGACTCGATCTGAACAGCTTCATGCTGCCTTGTCACTCGTCACCAAGTATGGACCGTGAAATTATAAAAATTGCAAATTGGAACGCTTGCTCACTGACGAACAAGCATAGAGAGCTACTCGATTTCCTCAACGCCAAGGTGGTCGACATTGCTATCATCACCGAGACGCATCTGAAGCCCGAACTGAACGTATTCCTTCCCGACTTCCGGCTCGTCAGACTTGATCGCACCTGCTCTGGAGGTGGAGGAGTGGCCATCGCTGCAAGACGGAACATCAGTTGCCGGCTGCTACCAAACTTCCAGCTGAAAACAATTGAAGCCATCGGAGTGGAGGTGAGCACATCACTTGGTTAAATCACCATCGTCGCGGCCTACTGCCCCAAGCAACCAACATCAGGGACGGGTCGTCAGTGGCCCTCCGGAAAGACATCATCAAACTCACCCGGAGGAGCGGGAACTTTATCATCGCTGGCGATCTGAACGCAAAACATCAAGCTTGGGGCAACGGTCGGAGCAATAAAAACGGCATCATCCTCAATGAAGACCTGCAAGAGGGCCACTATACCATCTTGGCCCCGGACTCTCCCACTCGGTTGAGTCGGTCTGGGGTCCATGCGACCATCGACATCTTCGTAAGCAACATGGGACACAACGTCTCGCAACCTGCGGCATTCCAGGAGCTGAGCTCGGACCACTATCCGGTGGTGGCCGAAGTTGGATCCTCGGTAAACCTATTCGAAGCTTCCCGGCGCAACTACCATCGAGTCAACTGGGCGCAATATCAACACTGCGTCGACACAACCATCGACTACGATGTCCAACCGGGGACGTCGGAAGATGTTGACCGGTGTCTACAAACCATCGAGGAGGTGATTTCCCGGGCCAGGGAACAACACGTGCCAGTATCCAGACAGGTGAGTAACACTCTGAACCTTGACAGCCCTACCAAAGATCTCATTAGACTCCGTAACACCATTCGTAGGCAGTACCAGCGTACTGGCCTGCCTAACTTGAAGACCAATTGTAATCGATTAACAAAGATCATTCAGGCCAGGATGGTGGATCTCAGAAATAACGATTTTGCTAGTAAGATCCGCTCTCTCCCAGATTGTGCTAAGCCCTTCTGGAAACTTACAAAAATTCTTAAAAACAAGCCTAGGCCCATTCCCCCACTGACCCCACTGGATCGTCCCAGCGACCCAGTGGTTCATCTGATAACTCCTGAAGAGAAGGCTGCCGCGTTAGGTCAACACTTCGTCAGCTCCCATAATCTCGGACAAAACATCGTCAGCCCTCATGAATCTGAGGTTGCTGAAAATGCAACCAATCTTCTTCAGATTCCTAACATTTTTTCCAGAGGAATCCGAGATTACGGCTGACGAACTGTTGGCCTATATCAAATCATCTAAAAACATGAAGGCCCCAGGTTTCAATAACATCCTGAATCTGGAACTCAAACACTTGAGTTCCATATTCTACAACCATCTGGCACTGATGTTTAATCTGTGCCTCCGACTTGGCTACTTCCCCTCGTACTGGAAGTCAGCTAAAGTCATACCCATCCGGAAACCTGGGAAGGATCCGTCCTCTCCTTCAAGTTATCGACCAATCAGCCTTCTCTCAGGGTTATCAAATCTGTTCGAAAGAGCAGTCTACCACCGGCTCCTAGCATCTGCTTGTTTTCGAGGAACAGTTTGGTTTTCGGAAAGGTCGTTCGACCGTCCACCAGCTGACTCGAGTAACAAACATTCTCAGACGGAACAAGTCTGTTTCGAAAACATCTGCCATGGCGTTGTTGGACGTTGAAAAACCATTCGACAATGTCTGGCATGATGGCCTGGTGTTCAAATTGCAGCAGTATGGTCTTCCAATCTTCCTAGTGAAGATCATAAACAACTATCTATCAGACAGGACGTTCCGAGTCTCTATGAATGGCATCTCATCGGATGCTTTCAACATCGGTGCCGGGGTTCCACAAGGAAGCATTATTGGCCCCATCCTATTCAACCTGTTCACCTCCGATATGCCGGCTCTCCCTGATGGTGGATCGTTGTCTCTGTTCGCAGATGACACATCCATCGTCTACAAGGGTAGGGTCATCGGAGCTCTGACTGCCAAACTTCAGAGAAGCCTGGACGTTCTGTCTGAATATTTCAACAGCTGGAAGATCCGTATCAACGCGGTAAAGACCCAGGTCATTATCTTTCCACACTCTAAATCTCCTAGACTTGTTCCGTCGGAGAATAACAAGATCTGCCTGAACGCACAGTGGTGGAATGGTCCAAAGAGGTCGTGTACCTCGGGCTAACACTAGACAGCAAGCTTCTTTTCAGGGAGCACGTTGACAAAACAAAAACCAAGTGCAACATCTTGATAAGATCGTTGTATCCACTTATCAACAGGAAGTCAACCCTGTCCCTGAAAAATAAGCTTGCTGTCTACAAACAAATCATCCTTCCTGTAATCGAGTACGGTATGCCAATCTGGGAGAGTTGCGCAAAATGCCATCACCTTAAACTCCAAAGGATCCAGAACAAGATCCTTAGGATGGTCCTAAACAGTCCCCCGCGGACTAGAAATTCTGAGATCCACTTCCTGGCTGGAATTCAAACATTAGAAGAACGGAGAGTATTCATCCTGGAAAGGTCCAGAGACACCTGTCTGAGATCAAATCATCAGATCATACGTGATCTAGCACGTTAGGTTAAGTTATACTCGTAGTTAGGTAGGTTATCACTTTTTTCAATTCAAATAAAACACATCCCCAAAGGGATATTCTGTAAACTAGTTGAAAAACGCAAATATTAAATTACAATATCAAATTAAACAAAGATGAAGAGCCAAGTAGGCTAATCAATTAAAATGATAAATCAATGTACTACCATAATCAACAGAAATAAACATAATTTTACTACTACTACTACGAACGAGACAGCAGTGCACTAGTATACTGCTATTCGGTGCGCTCAAGCCTGAGAACCATAAAAGTTTTTAATCAGTAATTATTGAACTAATGTTTGTTTAGAATTAATGATACTATTATTCTTATTGTTGCCTATTGAATGGTGAATGAATAATAAAGCACTAATGTCGCATTCATATACATAAAACAGATATGAATTAAGGAACTGAATAATATAAACTCCAGTATGAACAGTCGAATTAAATACAGAAACACACTAACTGTTATACACCTACACTTAGCATACAGAAAACAACACCAACCAACCGGATCATGGAGGAGAAGAGAAATTTGGAATGAGACTAATTCATCAAGAAGGAGAGGGAAATTTCGGGAAAAGGGAAACATATGGTCTGCTACCGGTCCGAAGAATAGCACTAGTTCATTTCCACGCCAACCTTTGAGTTACCAAGTCTACCAAGTTGAACAACAAAGTGTATAAGTTTAATACATAGATTAAATATAAATAGTGAACAGTCGAATACGGGTGGAAAAACAAAGCTGCCTTATCCTTTGAATCCGTACAATCAGGTAGGAAAAATATAAACCGGACTCCGGTAGCATAACCTTCAATAGTCCCTTTTCCTATTTCCTACCGTAAAAAAAAGCTCCGTCTCTCAAGCTCGAGCTAGTCGTCTTAAAAGAGGCTGGTAGAAAGCCCACCCTGTCTGGTCCCCGTGGTTGTAGACCAGAGATCGGGGGCATTGTAGTAATAGAGTGAGAAAGAGCACTCAGAGAATAACAATCTAGACTAGATAGAAGTTGGCGGTCTTCAACAATGTTGTTTAGATGAGTAAGACCTATTGCATGGTGTAAATCTCAGTTCATAATTCACTCATCAGGGGACGCTAGTGTTCAATTTGACATCTCATTGCTTGCTCTAACTTGACAGCACGACTAGATAGACGTTTCTAGTCTTCAGTTTTTCTGAATGAAAAAACATCAAACGATGACAAATTCAAGTAACGTGCAAAATATGTGCTCAATAATAAGAATAAACAACTTACCTCCATCACAAACCACATTTCACCGCTGATTCACGGCTCCCGAAAAATCCACCCGATCCTGGAAAGAGCACAGAAAGAGAAACAGAAAATGTCAGAAGCGTGAAAAACCCCATCTAATTAATCCATCTAGCACTCAACAGGCAATCAATCAATCAATCATTCATATCGCTTATCCCATAAATCAACTTTTTTTTGCTCCATTTTCCAGCTTGCCCTCTCACTCTGCGGAGTATTTTTTTGGGTTCTCGACAACTGGCGTTTTCATGACTCGAATTTCAGTCTCCGGAAATGTCACTCACATCATTCTCGTCTCCTCCAATCATCGATTGCCAGTAGCTCATGTGACATCGACAGCGACCGCGAAAACCGAACATCGAGCTTTTTTGTGTGACATCCCCCGACGAAGGTCAAAGTTCTTGGCCTCATTTGCGCTTCGTTTCCACCCCCGAGTTGAAGTTTGTCCAACACAAAAAAAAATAACAACTCTCACCTTTTGAGTCGAGACTGATGTATTCAGCAGAGGACACACTTTTCGGCAGAGTGAAATGACTTGACAGAGGAAGAGATTGCTATCATTTAGCTTTTCCAGCAAACGATGTTTTGATGAATGGAGACATGGTTGCCTGCCTGCTTGCCTGTGGCAGGACGTCCAACAGTCCAAAGTGGTTCGGTTTTTCCACTTGGTACGTGACCGGAGTTCTATTGCCATTTGCTTTTATATTCTGGCTTCGAACGGGCGGACTTACATGCATGCGGTCCAATATCCTGTGCGCTGAGCGATTCAAACGATTTTCGTGGATGGCAAAGTTGGGCACCCATAAATCGATGGCAAACGAGCCACTGCCAATGGACGGATGGATGGTGGCAGTGAATGTCCTTGGGAAAGGACATTGGAATTGAATAACTGGAGTGTCGTCATTCTTCGCTGTGTTTGCAAGACTAGGGGAAAATTTATGGGCAAAAGCAATTTAGGCAAAGTAGGAATCGATGATGGTCATAAAAATGTGATTGAAATGATTGGAACCAAGTGAAGCGAGATTAAGTGTGCGACAAAAAGGCTGAGAACTGCGTTGAATAGTCTGTTTGATGGAGGTGCTTGGTAGTTTGGAGGGAAGGAAAGACTTGGGTTCTCCATTCCAATCGACAAATTTCGTAATAAAAGACCATCAAATTGGCGAAATCGTATTTGACTTCATCTAAAATGTTGCCGATCACTCTATAACGTAGCAAGTCTTGGATAAATGAATGTAGTTGGAGCAGAAATTGGATCAAAAAATCGTGGATCAACGAAACAAAAAATGTTGCCAGTATGTCGCAGCCTGTCAGGTCAAGGCTTCGTTGAAATATTCCATACCACCGGATCCCGTAGCTACTTGAGCTCAACAGAAAGAACAAAAACCACCAGATAAAGCCAACAACCAGCAAGTCCACAAAGGAAAGCTTTGGAAAATTAAGCGGTTTACTTGGTGGGCATCGGTTGCCAAGGATGGAATTTATCAAGTCCCCCTAACCCCTGGACCCCACCACGATGACGACGACGGTGACGATCTGATCCGTGACGACGCAGCATCGTAGTAACAAAAACCTACCGAGCTAAAGGATTAAGTCAATTATTTTCTCAAAAATACCCTGTAAAGGAAACTTCCTTTTTTGTTAGTTGATCCAAGGCTGTCCTTTGTGCTGTGGGGAAGGCCAAACTTTGTCATTCTTTTTTTTTTTTATTCTCTTCGGTATTGCTCATTGCTGTCGCTTTTGTCAAGCGATAATTTTGCACCATTTTCCCTGATGAGGGTTGGTGGCGCGCGGGCTTTGTTCGAACAATACTCCACCAAATGAAATGGATAGCGCGGACCTGTTTGCTGAAGGGGGAATAGGAATGAAGAGGAACCGGAAAAGAGGGAAAAAAAGTTAAGGGAAAAAAGGACTTGGAGGCTTGCCTGGTTGTTGGGGTTAGTTTTTTTTGTCCTGTTCAACAATGAGAATGGGTTGAGAAGCGACAAATTAAAAATGCACCAGATGAGGGTTTTCATTACACCAGGAAAGAGATGCGAGAGGATAAAAGAATTGAATATTTTAAAGGTGGAATACAACAGCGATTCAGTTCTAGTACTAGTGACCATTAACTTTTGAAATTGATGATGGTATTGAATGCTGTGGGTAAGAATTAATAGAAGCAGACTAGTAATATTAGCATAGCATAGCATAGCATAAACCAGGTTGCACAATTTCGTAGGTGGTATGAGCTAAAAATTGTTGTTAAGGAAAAGACCCACCTTCATCCGTTGCTGTTAGATAATAATTTGTGGTTAAACACTACCTCTTAGATACAGGATGAGTCTCCCTCTAACAGACTAGAGTTGTTGTCTGGCCACATCCTTGCATCTGGTGGGGATGGGAGAGGAATGTTAGTCCGACACTTACTTAAGAGAGATGCAGAGAACTCTACGACCCCTCATAAGTGTCACGGGAAGGGTGGAATATCGTTAGTAGGGAGGTAAGGCCATAAGATACGCCCAGCCGGCGTTGCTGGCAATTATATAAAGTATTTAATATATAAAACCTGTAAATCATTTGTCCTTTTACCGTTGTTGCTGCCCATTACATAAATCCATTATTCGAAACAGTTTTCAGATTCCGGAATTGCAAAACGTTAACTCCTCGATCCTGTTGCTCCTTTGGCCCAAAAATTCGGTTGTTCTAAAACAATCTATTCTGATCGATAAGACGTTCTAATGTGTGAAATGGTATTTATAGTGTGTGGAATCGTAGATTAGAATGAATATTCGTCCATAGTTGTTTCAGTGTTGTGAGAATGATTATGCTAAGGCTGTGAATACACACTTAGAAATACCTAATCTTACACGTAATTGACATAAATGATGAGACGTAAACGAACATGTCATGTAAAATTAAGTGCTCCGAGACTGAAAAGTTTGAAAGTACGTTTGATTGAGCTGAATTTCGCGTCTATTATGACTCAATTTTATGTCAAAATTGACGCTCGTATATATCAGTCTCAGAGCACTTAAATTTACATCAATTTTTCTAAGTGTGTATGTTTAACGGGTTTCTTTTTATTTTTTGAATGATGAAGGGCAAAAGCCCGCGGGATTGAAACATTCCTGATATTTCTTCTCCCAAAGTCACAAAACCTTCACGTCTTTTCAGATTGTCAATAATAATGCATTCAAATATTTTAAATTACAATAACAATAAATCAGACAGTGAACTCAATTAAAATACATTCAACTAAAACATATTAAATTTAGAAAAAAATTAGAAAATATGCGAGTGATAATCCACTTTCATGTACCAGGAGCTGCATCGCCTCTTGGCCATCCTGGCTTCTTGCGGTATGAAAGAGAAAATATACAGATTCTTAGTGTCATCTGAGAAGAGATCTGAGTTCTGAGAGCTTAAAAATCATTAGCCGTTGTAGAAATAAGCTTCTCCGTCGTTGAAATGCCATTGGTATCAGGATTAACTGTAATAGAATTATTAAGAGAATTTTGGTTCGCAAGTGGAATTACTGCCTGTCTTGGGTTTGCAGAGTGCCTTTATCTGCTCATTTATTTGCTTCTGATACCTTCTGAGGGACTTTCTTGACCTTTTTGTAAGTACTGTGGCTTGAGTACCATACACCATAGTTGGTGTAATAACCGTCTCTAATAGTATCGTGCCCATCTTCATTGTTGGTCTTCTCTCCTTTAGGGAATCTAGTATGGTTCTCGAGGCAATAACTGCATCCCTTGAGCACTTATGGGTGGTTAAACTCCGGTGTAGTCGTTTCGTGATCGGTACTCCAAGGTAGACTAACGAAGATGTTGTTTTGTAAACATGCCCAGCAATAACTATTTCTGAGGGTGATATTCCTACAGGTGATCTTATCATTACTTGACATTTTTGCTCATTCAACTTTAAGTTTACTTCTCCCAAGTAGTTCTGGAGCACTGGTAATAGCTTATCTAATTCCTCTACTGTTCTGGCAATTATCAGATCATCATCCGCAAAAACCAAAATAATAGGAAATTTGAGCAAACCATCCAGCTCATCCTCGACTGTTATAAATATTTCTTCCATTATGAGATCGAATATATAAGGAGAAAGAGGCATCCTTGCATAGCCCCTTTCATTCGATTTTTTGGAGCTGTCTTTTGTCCTTTCCAAAGAATCTGTTGCTCCTCCATATTGAGGCATCTCGTTATTCTATTGGTCAGTTCGTTCGATGCTCCTTTACCCATAAAAATTACTGGAAGTGCCGTAAGGCTGATATTGTCAAATGCTTTTTGAATATCTAAAGCCATCACTATTATATCGTTGCCCGCATTCCATTTTTTTCCAAAATGCGGCGTGCAGCAAAGATGTGGTCCAACGTTGAACGTTGACTCTAGAAGCTTGCTTGATCAGATCCGATAGGGCTGGTACATCCAATCAGGTGACCTAAAATCCAGCTTGCATAAATTTTGTACCCAATGCTAGCTAATACAATCTTCCTGAAATCCTTTGCTGTCTTGGGGTTTTTAATTTTGGGGATGAGAATAACTAGAGTTTTCCGCCATCCTGTACGAATGCTGTTCTCCTTTCATACTCTCTTAAGTAGGTTTTTGAACTCTTCCAGCGTTGGTTCATCCGCATATTTTAGCAGTTTAATCTGTATCCCATCTTCCCCAGCAGCTTTACCATTCTTACAGCTTTTGATTATTGTTTCTATGGGAGCGGCGCCTGGTGTCTCCAAAGATACATCTTCTTCCTTTAAAGTATCCAGTTCTTCGGGCAGAAGGTTAATTGATTTCGGGTTTATGAATTGGTTTAATGAAATGTCCAGGAATTTCTGGGCCGCATTTTTCTTTTTGTATTTATTTACGTAATTAAAGGTTCTCTTGATTCTCTCCCCTGGTTTAAACTTCTCGAGATTGTTGAAGAACTCCATTTCTTCCTTCTTTTCTTTTTCTTCACTAAGTTTTCTATAGGTCCACCGCGCTTCAGAGAGGTCTTTCAGTCTACGTGAGCTCAAAGGGCATCTATTTTTCCAAAACAAACATTTGGAGGGTTAGGAAT